AACATACGAATGTTTCCGTTGTAAATAGGGCGACACTTTATCATAAGTGTCTGTTACCAACACGACGGATCATCGAGATCAAACTAGGTTACTAGTTATACATAGGGGCGATAACGACCCGCTAATTCAGGATAGCTCATGCATGATCGGTTAAAGTGGCATTCCATTCCTATACACGCACGTTACACATATTTATGAAATCCATATTTGTATGGTGATACAAATTATGTAGCCCCACGTTTCATATTAAACCAGAATATGTGGAATTCTAATCGAAAATCACTAAAAGGCTGCCGCGGTGATGTGGGTTAGACTTAAGTATATATCTATATGTACTCTTGAAATCGGTACACGGACACCACGTGGATCAGTACATCAGGGTAAATTATAAAGTGTAGGCTACAAGATCGGTACATCAGGGTAAATTATAAAGTGTAGGCTACAAGATCAGTACATCAGGGTAAATTATAAAGTGTAGGCTACAAGATCAGTACATCAGGGTAAATTATAAAGTGTAGGCTACAAGATCAGTACATCAGGGTAAATTATAAAGTGTAGGCTACAAGATCAGTACATCAGGGTAAATTATAAAGTGTAGGCTACAAGATCGGTACATCAGGGTAAATTATAAAATGTAGGCTACAAGATCGGTACATCAGTGGAAATTATAAAGTGTAGGCTACAAGATCAGTACATCAGGGTAAATTATAAAGTGTAGGCTACAAGATCAGTACATCAGGGTAAATTATAAAGTGTAGGCTACAAGATCGGTACATCAGGGTAAATTATAAAATGTAGGCTACAAGATCGGTACATCAGTGGAAATTATAAAGTGTAGGCTACAAGATCAGTACATCAGGGTAAATTATAAAGTGTAGGCTACAAGATCAGTACATCAGGGTAAATAATAAAGTGTAGGCTACAAGATCGGTACATCAGTGGAAATCATAAAGGGTAGGATTGTAGCCTATCTCCTGTTTTGATCGCGCGTTTTCTCTAAAGTGCTGATGTTTTAAAGCTCTGCTGACTCGGAAGGTGAAATTTACAAATAAACTAGATCGAGGCCCTGGTTCTCTGTGGTGGGCCATTACCTGCGACGTTTCAGATAGACGAAAATGCCGAAAATTCCGTGGAAATGACGTCACTGACACACAAAGTAAACAAGATTTCGGAACCCACTTGAGATATCCATGACAACGTAAACACAGAAACTACCTGACCATTGTGACGTCATTAGAACGTACTTGGTGACCGAAATAAGAAATAGGTCTCTTATCTTGTTTACAACTATGTATCAACATTCCATGGTGACCTATAGCACATGTTTCTGATAGCGGTCCGCTTATCTTCCTCTACTTAAGGTGGCTCCACACTTTCGCAATTAACCAGCAAAATTCGTGGAAACTTTCATATAATGGTTATGCAACTATGTTGAGTTGATTTTATGAAAATCTAAACATTCCGATAGTGTGGGGACTTTTTTGGAAAAAATACCAAAAAATTGAATTTTCGTCAATTTCAATATTTTCCGGGTTTTTTGTGTGTGTGTGGCATTGTTCGGAACAATAACAACAATAATAAAATGAAAAGAAGCATTTCTAATTAACCCTAAAAATATTTTATTTATCGCAAAATATGTAACACATGTTATACAAAGTGTTTTTTATTGAATTTGTACAGATAAAAGTGATTATCTACAAGCTAAAAGCAAACAGGACACAAAGATCTATACATACAGAATGGGAAATTGAACAAAATATACACAATGGCTTTATAATTATTTTTTTTTACATTTTACAATCACTTTGATCCGGGTGAGAGTTATCTTCCTTGAAAAAATTCGGAACTTTTTGCAGAGGGATGTAAATTTACACAATGACAGTTGTCTCTGTTTACATATAACAAAAATGATGGAAATAAATCAAAAATATGATATCCAAATTATCAATTTATTGTTCTTTAATGGAACCAAATTACCCTCAGTCATGTACACTTTGGACATCATTCCACAGTCCGCTAACTCACGGTATATTTATAATTACATGTCAGGTACATATGTGAGACCAGAGGCTATCGCATGGTATGCCGTTCTCACGTGCACTCACACATGCATTTCATAGGTATCTTGATATTTTACAAAACATTATTTTCACAGAGTAAGTAGACTACATTTGTAAACACGATTTAATCGACAGAGCGAAACTCCCTCANCTGAAGTACGTGTGATTATACATTTCCCGGTAAAATCTCGATATCGGGTGTTGACATATCAGCGGCACGCACGTGTACTATTGTTTACCTGGGGCCTGTTCGTTTATGCGGACCAACCGGTTTGACCGTTTATAAATGTAACAATTTCGGGTATAAATCCTGGCGGACCTGCAAATGTGTATGCAGGCCTTGCAGGACTTTCTCAAGGCTCGCGTTAAAGCAGCATCAGATTACTAGGTCCGGCCTTATTTAATAAACGAACAACAGTGGTCCGATCGGTTTGACCGTTTAAAAGAAAATGGCCCAGGTGTTACTATAATTTGCACTACGATATTGAATGCCCGATACGCAATACGGAAATGACGACACGGTGTACATGCACATTTCGATCAAGATAATTGAGTCCGAGCTGTACTTTTTCCGGAAGTACGTCACGAAAATGGACGCTGATGACGATGTGTGGAGCCACCTTAAGACTATGTCATCAGGAACTGTTCGCCCTGGCGTGATGACGTCATAGGGTAAATAGTAAATAATAAATAGTAGTCCAATTCGGATACGATGTGCTCACCAAAAAAACATATTTTGAAAAACTAGTGACATGGCTATTAATGCTTTAAAAGGACATGTTTACAATATGAGGATTTATGAAAAACATCCAACGATATTATATGATTGCAAAGTTCTCAAGTAACGGTATAACATTGATTCTTCGGATCATAAGCCTGTCAGCTGGGCTTTGTTTGATGATAAAGGATAGTACAAAGTGCCTTTGTGAACCGCTAACAACCTGATTCTTGTATCATATCCGTAGCGTAATCATGAGTCTTTCATTCGCGGAACGGTTAGTTAGTGTACGGCCTCAATCAAGTAGCACTGCACTCCCAAATATGTATTTTCTTCAATGATGAAACAAATGATGGCGACATCGTAACTCGAGTACTTATGCTATGTATGTGTATTGTCTGACAATAGTTCTACAGTGATGTATGAAATAATTCTATCCGCTATAACCAATGAAAATCAATATCAACCTCAAATACAATCAATAAACATTAGTCTCATCATCATATGCAATCAATGATTTATTTTTTATCTATTCGTAAAAAATGAAATGTAATGACAACATGGCCCTCACTATAACACTTCATGATAACATGGGTGTTTCTTAGCTTGAGAGTACACCATGGCAGAATAATGATTCTCATGATTTGCTTTCGTATATCTTCCATTATCAAACTGTGCTAGTTCAGTAAAACCTTAACACTCATTAAAATTGCATATTAATAAGAGTAAGCTATTGATAATTACACTGTAATTAAGACATTATAGACATCGGGTTTGTATTGAAAAACAATTCACATCTTACATCGTCAGCTTAAAACAAAGATATGTACAAAACGGAGTTCATTGTTTCCTGATAAATTTGATATCGATTAAATCGATCGAATCAGATCTGAAGTTTAAAAATTGGATAGCGGATGGACCGTCTGCATATCCGAAAGGTTTTATTGGATAATGGTGCGAGCTCGGAAAACGATGACTTATGATCGGAGAAGAAACCTCGGAAACCTTGACACCTACTCCCTTAGTTCCAGACAAACCAAACAGGACACAAAACAACTATTGATTACTTTCGGTGAGAATAGCAGACTCGTGTCTGTCGTATGGATGAAATGCCACGTGCAAAGAGGCATGGACAGGTCATGAAACCCATCGATGATTTTGTCAAATGTTCTGCCATTCGACTAGTTTTGAGTAACGTAGTAAAATTTTCAATTGTGGTACTGATGGGGAGTTTACAAAGCAGATAGCTCACGGGCGTCACGTGTTTCTCTTTGCATCGGAATTCAATGGCGCTTGAAGACATGTGTTTGCCAAATTTAGAGTCAAACTAATGTGTATCAAATGATAGTGCTGTGTCATATTCACGAATTAGGTTATAATTATTAAAATCAGAAAATGAAAATAGGGCCATCATAAGACAAACGTTTTACTGATATTATTTGAGGGGTAAGGCGGATACTGTCCTTGTCATTTAGTTTATACTTAATATAGCTGTATGTAGAAAACTGAATGGACTCTTATTTTACCAGATGACATTGTTTGTTATACAACTGGTCGGACAGTAATGGTCAGAGACCCAGGCACAGTGAACGAAACGGCCACTCTCTAGATAAAATCCCGTCCATTGGGCCGCACTCACAGGAAAAGATGAACAATTGGGGAGCGTATCGATTATGGTAAATGTTGATCATTTATGATATTCTATACAAGACCCTTGACACATATATCGATATGTAACATCAAGATCATAGGGGCGCTTGTTCTTATTTCGTTACATGTAGTTCACGGACATCTGACGAATGAATTATTCAGGAGAAGGGTACGCAATAGGAATTGATATATATCTATATATATGACTACATGCCTAGAATGAATGGCTGTATCAAGATTACAGTTGACCATACAGGCCTAGAATGCATGGCTGTATCGAGATTACAGTTGACCATACAGGCCTAGAATGAACATACAGGCCTAGAATGACCATTAAAACGAGTTATCTTATACTGATCATACAAACGCTTTTGATATTTAGAATAAAATGCCAGGCCTGATGTCCTTATATGAAAAGTAATTAAACGACCTGGATTTTCCATCCAAAATGTGCATGTTATCCTGCTATCATGTTAAAGTTTATAGTGTTTTTCTTGATAACTACTAGTAACAAACAATTGATCAACTGACTATTCAATTACATATTAAAAGAACTTGTTTAACTTACTTACCTTTATAACACATAAACTGCGACAAACTTCAGAATGTAATCCAGATCACTAACTTTTATGCATTTCCCTGTATTAAAGAGGGAATCTAACAGACCATCTCCTTCGTAAATATAGCAAGCCAAATACAGCCGTCGGTAGTGCTTCTCAGACGACGATTCGTCCTCAGTCCAGCACAAGTTATTTGTTATGTCTACACATCTTGCTACAATACATTACGCCGTGTTGTATAACACCCGGTCGTGTTGATGTTTTTTCTAAGAATTAACTTTGATCAAATGTATGTCCACTTTTATATTTTTAAATGTCTCCTCTTAATCTGATACTAAAACGTATGCCGGAGAGTCGAAATGTTCAATAAATCAACTTATCTCATAAAGCCGACGAAAGCTTAAAGTTGGCGTATTGGTGATACAAAGTTGTCAGACTAAATCTCCAAATAACGTGTTACAACCCAAGAATCACTGTACTCTCTCCGAGATACGGAGCTAACTCCCCGGTCTTACCAACAGAAGGACAGGTACTCCGGGCGACACGAACAGGCTTCAAACCAAGACAGATCCAATAGATGTTTACTTAGGAGATTACAGAGGCAAATAAGCAATTCAATACGAAATAGTTTTCTTCAATAAATAAGCTCTCAAGTCACGGTAAATATCTAAACAAGACACGCATACAAGATTCAACGATTATTTTAAAATATTATCTAAATAACCTTTCCCACAAAACCCTTTAACACCTACAAGAACCTTCACTTTCACATGTACAAATGACCATTACCTTGACCCATCTGACCACTCAATAGGTTAAATGGACATTCGAGACGTTTATTGTGATTTGAAACTCCTTTAACTGAGCGGTACATTAACGGTCTCACCAGATTTTACAGGCTATAAACCACAACACATTGTCGTTATTTCAAGAATTTGAAATTAGAAAAAAACACCAAGTAAGTCCTTAATTGATTGAGAAATCCCTTAAACTTTATTGTATTGTCATTGGAGTTTGCAAAGCCTCGCAGCGATGGATGTAAAATAATTTACGACACAGGCGTCAAGTAATAAAATCGTAAATTAAATTACCTCACATCCGTTGTTCCGACATTAAAATAGTTTTAAACTCGAGACATTAATTTGAAGCGAATTAAACTTAACTCCAAAACGTGATAAAAGGTTTGATTGTGTACACTACAAGAGATCATTTGTCTCTGGCGTGTTTACATTTCCCTCCATCAAAGCTTAGATTTCCGAGCAGCCAATTCACCGCAATGTTTACATATGATAAATGCGCAATTATATACACTGTGTATTTATACCTTGCACGTATTACAATATTCAACTGTATTTACATAAACTACATCAATTGTCGTTTGATATCTTATTCTTAATCTGTTTCAAAGAATGGGGTTGTTCATTTCAGAACGAGTAGATCATATACAAATTAGTGTCCTTTGTAGCTTTGCAGAACAGCAATGACTTCATATACGATTACTTTAAAGTTCCAAACGAATATTCGTCAATTGACTCCACATAATTACCCCAGTTTGTCTCTTATCGGATTTCCTTTTTACTTTAACCTACACAGACTGAGGTCTGAATTTGGGAGACGTCTGTAACTGTTACGCCAAATATAACCTCGTCCCATGTGAAGCCTGATAAATGACTTTTGAGGGGAAATGTGATACTTGCAATACCTGTATAGAATGATCATATTTTGTTGTTACCTGTGTTTACCTGTGTGTGTTTGCATGTTATAACTGTACACGTTCCTACGTAAACAATCACAAACGTACAAAAAACTCAAAATAAGACATTTGTCTATTTATAGACATAATGATTATGTTACACTAACCATGTTGTTTAGAGCGGCCGGTGTGGAAGGCACGCAACATGTTTCATTTTTTATCAATTCAGACCACAAGCTCTGGTCAACTTCAAAACGTTGTTTTGAATACGGGCATACCTTGTAGTTTTGAAGCAAACAACTCAAAAAAACTTTGTTCGTACACGAAGCTTCTGTTTAGATTTTACATGCACCCTACACTGTTATACAAAAGATATCACATATCATGCATGTAGGTATAGGTGAATCTTTATATTCCTAATGTACTCAAACAGTTCTTACCGTCTGTGACCTACCCGTGTCCGAGTTGGCCTTCCATACTTAGTCCAGGTTTAATTCCAGTTCACTTACATACAGTACATAAAAAACTATCTGATATGGTAGACAACTTTTTACCACATTTAATATCTGTATTAGTTATACCGCGGGGTAACGGGCCTAATGGCATGTAGAGTTATCTTCAACTGGTATACAAGCACAAAATTGTTTACCGAGCGAAACTCGTGTAAATCCACAAAAATCATACACAATACTTACCAAACGTCTATCAGACACAGCTTCACGAGAATCCCAAACACCATATACCACAATCCACATGAAACGTGACGCAATTTTGTTCCCTTTGGGCAAATTGTTTATGGCCGACTTGCAACTTGTGATAGTTGATAAAATTTACAATGTCCATTTAGCGGCTCAGTGACACCTTGAACGGCAATGGTCATCAATCTATCATGCTGTTGTCCAGTCAGTGCGGCCGTCTCACCTGAGAATAGAAAGAAAAAAGATAAGATGGCATGCCATACAGACTGGGCGTTACCAAAGAGTCAAATAGCCAGTGGTCAATTGGTCAAGGTTGTATTGTTATCTGGCCCAAGATTATCTCTGTATACCCTTACTTTTAAGATCAAATAGACTATGTATCATACAATATTTCAAAAATAACCAATGTTCCATAATTATCGAAGTCCATTCTTATACGACATAGCGTTACTGTGTTATTAGTAATACCTATGCCTTGCATTGGTTTGATTTAATAAATATCCCATTGCCATTGCCTGTGTCATGAACATATTTTCGTATCTATTTTTCACACGGACCAGTCCTTGAGTATGGTGTCCGTCTTTGTGAAATGCTGAAACCAAAAGAGGGGCCTACATTGGCCGGTCGCCATGTGGATCAGTCAAGGTTGAAGAAACGTTTGATTACCACAGTGTTGCCTTGAGGTGATCGTTACGAAGGAATCCGATCAAGGCCCTCAGAGCGACGCTTCGCTTACAAAGTGAAAGATGAGGTTATCGAGATCGATTGTGATAGCTGATAAAGACAAAACAGGCGGCGGCTAACGACAGATAATCGTCCAGCTGACACAGCAGGCACCTAAACGCTGTGTAAATTACACGGACACAAGCTGTAATTAAGACTATTGACAAGCACTACTTGGCGACATTAACGTTGTGTGTTTATTGAAAACATTGGTAGTCAGCGAGAGTAGACAGCAGTTGATAGAAAATCAGGATAGCCGCGGCAACCGAAATCCGGCAAAGAACGCGGAATCCAATGGGGATGCCAAAACAGTACAATATTCTACGATGAATTGATTTTAATTTAATAAAGGAATTGTTTTAAGTTTTTGTCTGAACAACGAACATAATACTGAAACATAACCTATAATCTACAAACTCTGTACAATTCCGAGAATCGGTCAGAAAAAATGAACGTTAAAGGAACGGCTAGAAAGGCACAGTAAACTGATTAAGAAGTATCAAAAATAGATGTGCCGATACCGGAAGTGTATGGAACGAAAATGACAGCGGAAACGGAAGTTGACAAAATGGTAAAGCACGAACTGACCTTAACCATACCGCTGATTGGTTACGATGACAAAATCGTCCTACACTTAAAAATATCGGATAATTCTTAACGCCAAGAGTTTTGAATTTAAAACGGTATTACAAACGTCAAACATTAGCTTACGTCAAATTACATGCGTAGATAATTTAGGCCACATCAGATTGCATGACTAAATCCTTAGGACACGTCAGATTACATGCCTAAATCCTTAGGACACGTCAGATAACATGCCTAAATGCTTAGAACACGTCAGATTACATGCCTTAATCCTTAGGACACCTCGGATTACATGCCTAAATCCTTAGGACACCTCGGATTACATGCCTAAATCCTTAGGACACGTCAGATTACATACCTAAATCCTTAGGACACGTCAGATTACATGCCTAAATCCTTAAAACACCTTGGATTACATGCCTAAATATTTAGGACACGTCAGATTACATGCCTAAATCCTTAGGACACCTCAGGTTACATGCCTAAATCCTTATGACACGTCAGATTACATGCCTAAATCCTTAGGACACGTCAGAATACATACCTAAATCCTAAGGACACCTCGGATTACATGCCTAAATCCTTAGGACACGTCAGAATACATACCTTAATCCTTAGGACACCTCGGATTACATGCCTAAATCCTTAGGACACGTCAGATTACATGCCTTATTCCTTAGGACACGTCAGATTACATGCCTAAATCCTTAGTTCACTTCAGATTACATACCTAAATCCTTAGGACACGTCAGATTACATGCCTTAATTCTTAGGACACGTAAGATTACATGCCTAAATCCGTAGGACACGTCAGATTACATGCCTAAATCCTTAGTTCACTTCAGATTACATGCCCAAATCTTTAGGACACGTCAGATTACATGCCTAAATCCTATGGACACCTCGGATTACATGCCTTAATCCTTAGGACACGTCAGATTACATGCATAAATCCTTAGGACACGTCAGATTACATGCCTAAATCATAAGGACACGTCAGATTACATGCCTAAATCCTTAGGACACCTCGGATTACCTGCCTAAATCCTTAGGACAAGTCAGATTACATACCTAAATCCTTAGTTCACTTCAGATTACATGCCTAAATCCTTAGGACACGTCAGATTATATGCCTAAATCCTTCGGACACGTCAGATTACATACCTAAATCATTAGTTCACTTCAGATTACATGCCTAAATCCTTAGGACAAGTCAGATTACATGCCTAAATCCTAAGGACACGTCAGATTACATGCCTAAGTCCTTAGGACACGTCAGATTACATGCCTTAATCCTTAGTTCACGTCAGATTACATGCCTAAATCCTTAGTTCACGTTGGATTGCATACCTAAATCCTTAGGACACGTCAGATTACAAACCTAAATCCTTAGGACACGTCAGATCACATGCCTAAATCCTGAGGACACGTCAGATTACATGCCTTATTCCTCAGGACACGTCAGATCACATGTCTAAATCCTTAGTTCACTTCAGATTACATACCTAAATCCTTAGGACACGTCATATTACATGCCTAAATCCTTATTTCACTTCAGATTACATACCTAAATCCTTATTTCTCTTCAGATTACATACCTTAATCCTTAGGACAAGTCAGAGCACATGCCTAAATCCTTAGGACACGTCAGATTACATACCTAAATCCTTAGGACACGTCAGATTACATGCCTAAATCCTTAGTTCACTTCAGATTACATATCTAAATCCTTAGTTCACTTCAGATTACATACCTAAATCCTTAGGACACGTCAGATTACATGCCTAAATCCTTAGTTCACTTCAGATTACATATCTAAATTCTTAGAACACGTCAGA